ATACTCACGCGCACGTCGCTGCGCGCGCATGCCAAAATCTTCAAACAAAATACCATCACTTTTTCAAACATTTCAAAATCGAATGTACCGAACACATCTCAACACGCATGGTTTTGCACCCTGTTTGTTCACAAAAAACCTGCGCACGCGCTTTTGCGAATTCTTGCGGAATCCGGGGTTCTCACTATTTTCACTCAAAGACTACCAATCGGGCCCATCGCTCGCACATGTCGAAATCATTCGAACGCCCTTGCACGCGTGCGGGGGGGGCACGCGCGCGGATGCCGAAATCTTTCCAAAACCTTCATCGCTGACGCGTGGACACCATCATCGCCATCGGCGTGATCAGCATCGGCGCCGGCATTGGTCTTGTCGTCGTCACCGTCGTCATCGTCACCAACATCGCTACTATCACCATCATGTGTGCCGTTGTCGGCGTCGTCATGATACTGCGCCCACCCGGTCCACCGACTCGTACTGAAGTGCCCGCGCGCCACCGCGGCCTGTGAAACGCGTTGGGAAATGCGTAGCGGTCAGCGCCTGCGCGCGAGCCTGCGCGCGCTAGCGCGGCCGCAGCGATGCGACAGCCAGCGCCAAGCAGTCAGGGCAATCGCAGCCGACTTGTTCTTACGAGCCATGTTGCGGGTGGGTGGGTGGGGCGATTGCGCGGGAAGTGGAGTTGACAAGTTCAAGTTCGGCAGGGTGAACTGCACCACGTAGACTTCATCGCATGGCTTACACCACATGGATTGCACATACACTTCACCACATGGGCTTAGGCTTGCACCACAGGTTGCTTTACATTGATTGCGCCACGTGGCTTGCACCTTTTTTTATGCTGCCCCATGTATACTGCACCATCTATACTGCACCTCGTTCTGTACTACAGCGCGCTGTTTGGGGCACATGCTGGTTGACATGTTATCGTAATCAATTCCGGCATACGCGTTGCGGGGCAACTGCGCGCGCCGCCGCGCGCGAACGTCAACCCAATTCAATACATTTTGTTTTATGAATGTTCTATACATGGTATTCCGCAACTATCAAGGAACATGCGGCTTCTCTGCCTTTTTGCTGCCATAATTCTGCGCGAGCACTCGCTGAAATCATGGGAGAAGCATCAATGTTTAGCCGCTCTGTCAAATCAGACCATGCGGGCCACTCGCGGGCGCATGTCGGAAACGCTCAGCCATCATCGAGCGCTCTCGAAATCTGTCAGAGAAGACCAAACGTGCCACACGCATGGCTCCGCGCGCGCACTTCGAAATCCTTCTTCATGCCGGCACAATCGTGTTGAAACAGATGTTTTTTGGGGAGGGGGAGCATGGGAGCGGACAGCAGCTGACGCCAAAGCGTGAGTGCCGCCACACGCCGAAGGCTAGGTTGAAAGGCGTCGGGCTGATGCCGGCGAGGCACGGCACGAACGAAACAACGGTTGCATTCGAAATCCGTTTCCTTCCTCACCCGACGTGTGGAATAGACACGCGCTTCGCCGACGAGAGAAGGGACGGCAAACTTCCGCCAGTGCTGGGGAGAAAGACGAGGAGGAGGAGGAGACAGAAGGAGGGAAGCTAACTAGAGCAGGCCTCAACTCGAGGATAGAGCGGTACATCCAAAATTGGCATACTGCGCACTGCAGGCGCCGCCCGGGGAGGACAACTCCAGTCCGCCAGCGGAGAACAGAGGAAAGCAACTACGAGGAAAAGAGGGGGGGGGAGGAAAACAACAGAGCTCGCGAATGCGTAGACTGGCCAGGGTATGGTCTGAGGTGCCTGCACGAATCCCCCACCCGAGCGGATGAGGAGGAAGAGGACGAGGAAGAAGAAGGACGGGGAGGGGGACAGGCGCACCCTGGCTCATATGACAAAACCAGCTAGACATTATGCTCACAGAACACCCAAAGAACAACATCCGCTGTCACAGTCGGGGGCCAGGCACAAACGTGCAGCGCAGCCAAATCTTACGTAACGCCATACGCAATGTACCACCCATATGTTTGACCAGCCATGGCCAGGGCAACAAACACCGGCCACAATCACTAGGAGGAGGAGGAGGAACAGGCAGGAAGAGACGCCCAACGACGACCAACGACAAGACCCACCACCGCCAGAGGACGACAGGCACACAGCCTCACTTGAAGCACTCCAGACTGGGGCGCAGCAGCCTGAGCATCTCGCTCGCGGCAGACGCGCGCCCCTCGGCGCAGCGGCCAAGCACCTCATGTACAGTCTCGACTCCGGGCGCATACGAACACCCAGTGGTTCCCAAAACAAAACCATGAAACGATGTCGAAACTTTTGTGGCCGCGCACTTTTTCATCCTCACCAGCACGATCGTCATCAGCATCGTCAACGTCATCACAGCCATCATCATTGCCATCATCGTCATCGTGGTCATCATCATCGTCGTCGTCATCATCATCAGCACAAACATCAGTATCAGCACCAGCATCAGCATCAGCATCATCATCATCATCATCATCATCATCGGAATCGGCGCCGCTGTCGTCATCGTCGAGCTCGCCACCCACGTCACTGTTCTGCGCGTGGGCACTTCCCCACCGTCAGCACCAACATCATCGTCATCGCCAGCGTCATCGTTGCCACCGTCGCTAACACCACCATCAGCTCCATCACCATCACCATCGTCGTCGTCGTCGTCGTCGACATCGTATCGTGCCCATTGCCATCGCCATCGCCATGGGCATCGCCGGCATCACCACTGTCATCTCCATCGTTGTTGGCGTCGCGATCGTCACCATCGCCACCTCCATGTCGCAACCTGCAGGACGGACCTGTCTGCACGGTTGAGTTCCATGCGCACGTGTGCTCGATGAGCTAATGGTCACATGTGCTGTGCGAGCAATTGAGGGTGGGAGGGTGGGAGGTTTGCTCGGGCACTGGAATTGGCGTCTGCAGTTTCCATATGAATATCTGAATACGCATTCAAAGAAAACAAACGGATCTACATGGTTTATTTCCAATACGAACTCATACAATCCCAGCCTCCCCCTCGTCATCCATCATGTCAGGTAATTCCATGCGCGCGCATGTTCATTTCAACCAATCATTATACAATCATTCTGTGAATCGAAAAGCACAGAGTCAACACGCGGGCACATGCTAAATCCACACGGATCACAATTCCCAAGCGCACGTTTCATCAGAGAAGCCTAAAGGTAATTGGGCTCCTAGAAACTGTGAAATTATTCTGGCAGCGGGCATTTGCTGACACCAGAGGGCAACCGTATGGTTTCAGCAATCTCGTCCAGAATCCGCACTCGCATCTCATCACACGGTTCGTCCGCGTTGATCTAGCCTGCGCCCCGTGCACGAAACCATATCCAATAACACCATACGGACCAAATGCGCGCTCCGCCACGCGCGCGGGCCGAACCCCCTCCAACACAACTGGTGCTCGAAACATTTCAAGATAGAGCTCTTGAAAGGTGAATGAACAACCGCCAGCTTGTACTCACAATGTTTTCCAAGTATATTGAGTTTTCGTGCGCGCGCAATTTTTCATCACCATGATCAGCGCCATCGTCGCCGTCACCATCATCGTCAATCGCCGCCACTGCCGCCATCATCAACACAGTCCTCTTCATCACCGACACATGCACATCATCAACGCCACAGTCGTCACCAACATCGTGCCATCATCGGCATTGCCGTCCTCATCGCCATCATCGCCACTACCATCGCTATTACCATCATCGTTGTCGCCGTCGTCGGCGACATCATGACCTCGCGCCCGCCCGGGTCACCGACCCGCACTGAAGTGCCCGCGGGCCAGCGCGGCCTTTGAGACGCGCTGGGAAGTTCCCATCGGAAACCGCCATCGCGGCCGCACCAATTGTGCCAAGCCAGCTGGTCGTTATGCGCGCGAGCGTGCGCGCGCCAGCGCGGCCGTGACGGTGCGCTAAGAAGTGCCGAACAGTATCTGTGATTGTCGCCGCATGGATTTTGCCAAACAATTTGTGGGTGGGAGGGTGGGATGTTTGCGCGAGCAGTAAGAGTTGACGACTTCAAATCCTTGATGATCACTTACACCGCGTATCTTGCGCCACATAGCTTGCACCATCTACTGCACCCCACAGGTGGCACCACCTATATTGCTCCCAAGAGATTGCACCACGTAGACTGCATCGCCGATTCCATCGAATATATTGCAACACGCCCATTGCACCATACAACGATTGCCCCACGAAACCTGCTCATCGACAGTGGGATAATGCTCTGTGGGTTTCATGCATGTATACACAAAGATAGCGAGAGAGCGAGATTGAGACAGAGGCAGAGAGGCAGTAAGGGAGAGAGAGAGAGAGAGAGAAAGAAGAGAGAAAGAGAGATAGAGACACGCACATAACGTGGACGACCAATAGCCGTATATAAAATCAACCAGCCAAGACTGTCAATGAAGAGTTGCGTGGCGGCTGTCAGCGCAGGGATGTCCTCATCATCCTCCGAGATCTCGGTGCCGCTGCCGCTGGCGTCCCAAGCCTCGTCCTGGCCGTGCCAGACGCTTGCACCCAGGCGCAGCCAGAGATGAATAGTGATGCATTAGCAGCAGCAGCGGCAGGAAAGGCAGGAGGGGGCGGGAGACGGGAGGGAAGGAGGAAGGAGATGCGCGGACCAGCGGAGGCAATACAAAAAAACAAGTCTTCAAAAGGATTGGAAATGAGTCGTCAACGTTATCAATTTGTCACCCTGTAGAGTCCATAGACCTTCGGACCGTCCCAGGCGATCTCCCAGCGGCCCAGTATGGCCCCAAGACGGGCCCACCCAAAAGTGACCCAACTTGGCCCAAGATCGCCGCAAGATCGCTCCGATCCGGCTCAAGACTGGCCCAACCACGTGCCTCCCCCAGGCGGCCCCGACAACATAGGATGGCCAGAACCCCAGTCGGCCTCACGACCCACCGGGACGACCCGAAGACTTCCAAAAGGATCCCAAGACGCCCCACCTGAGGGGCCCAAGAGGCCCCGAGCCTTCGCTGTTCTGTGGGAGTGCAATGAACCAGCCGCGCGCAGAGCTACAGCCGTGACGCGATGTGGCGGTGCTGAGCAGCTCCCCCAAGAAGCACGCTGCCAGACATGCGAGGGGTAGGTCTGCATAGAAGCACGTAGCCCCCGCTTCCTTCCTTTCACGCCTCCGGTTTCGTGGCTGCGTCGAGGGGCGGAGTGAAGGGACTACACATGCCGCGGAGGGGAGCGCATGCAGGGACGATCCACTTCCGGTCAGGCCGCTGCTCGTGGCGGGGCCATCACGCGCTCGTGACGTCCGCCCCGCCCGCGCACCGCAGGCGCGCCGCTCGCTCGAGGTCCGTGCTGCTCTTCGTGGGGGTCGGCACCCTCGCAGGCAGGGGCTCTCAGACGGCGCGCGGCGTTGCCCCCGGTGACGTCCACGCCCCGCGGCTGCTGGCCGCGGCGGCGCCGGCAGTGGCACCCAGCGCGGCGGCCGCGGCTGTCGCCGTGCAGGCCACTGCGGGAGGCGCGGGCGCCAGCGTGGCGTACACCACCGGCCAGGGCGCCACGAAGCTGACGTCGCATGCGACGGCTCCGCCCCTGCCATGGCTCGAGGAATCCGCGAGCCCGAGGGAGCCGCCGCCGAGCTGGGCCGCGCCATGCTGGACTGGACCGCTGCTCGCGAACATGCGCGCAGGCAAGCGTACTGAGGACGGCGTCAGGGCTGGCGCCCTCGGCGCAGGGTGGGTCACAGCCAGAGGTGCAGCGAGCGCGCAGCCAGCGAAGTCGAACATGCCGGCAGTAGCAGCCATGGCGCGCTGCGCCATGAGCAGTGCTGGCGGCGGCCTGGGCTGAGGCAGGGCGGTCAAGCAATTGTTCATCACTGCGGCCACGGCGAACTCGTTGTACTCGTGCTGGCTGGCGTAGCCCGCCTCCCTGCGGTCCACGGTAACGAAGGGCGCGTGCGTCGCAGACCTCGCCGGAAGTGCCACTGGCCCAAGCATGGCGCGCGGCGCGCTCCTAATTAGAGCTCGGGCACAGCCTCCTGCACACGCCTTTAGCGCGCTGGGCAGGAGCGAGGACCCCTGAAATACAAAATTAACTACGACTTAAGCCCCAAAAAGCTACGAACTTCCTCAGATTCTTGTGCGAGGCTGCAACCTTGTGGCCCCGAGCTCCTCCTTCAATGCCAGGGGGCGAGACACGTGCACCCTTCGCGGCCTTGTTGGGCCCAAGGTGGCCCCGTGAGGGCCCCTGAGGTGCGCTGAGAATGCACATGTCTCCCCCCCACGTCATTCATCGCCCTCCCCACTGCGCAACGCCAGAGAAGGCCTGCGAGGGGTGGCCACGCTCGGGGGCACCCGCCACCCCAGTCGCGCGTCCTCCGCGCAGCGGGTGCGTTGTGTGCCACGCGTGGGGACGCCCCACCTGTAGACAGAAGCACGCGGATGCGCAGGGTACGAGTCTCGGCCATCGCCGTTGCGTCGAGGCGCCGGAGCTGGAAGATGCGGACGCCCCCGGGCTCTGGGCTGCTCGGCGAAACAAATAGATCGCGACTCGGGACTCAGCTCGAAAGCGGCGGAAACGCGACCTCGAGGTACGACGCTACGACGTTGCGATAATTCACATCGCCGACGCGCATCACGATCAAGACTTCCAGCCCCCCGTCCATCCGCCACCGTGCCTGCGAGGCACGGATTGGAGTAACCTCAGGTCCCTGGCTCAATCCCAGGAGCCTCAGTTCTCAATCCTGAGGACCTTTTAAAGGGACCGGACCCCGAATTCTCAGATCTCCCGGGGCTCTCGGCGCGCCCGTGGCATCTTTTCCGCATGACTTCTTCGGGCCCGGAAGGATCCAAACGACGGGCCAACAAAAAGGCCCTGAGAGGCCTCCCGCACGGACCAAGAGGGCCTCGAGTCGCCGAGCGATCGGTCCACGGCACGATGGCGGGATGGGCCGAAGGCCACTGCGTGGATTCTCATGGTCCTCTGGGCTGGGTCGGTCCGTGGGCGTCCTGGGGCCCGAGGAACACACAATACTCTCTGGCCCGCCGCTGCGCTGCGGATTGGATGTGGATGGATGCGCTGGATGCGTCCAGCAATGGGGGCGTTGGATGCGTCCAGCGACGTCGGGGGAGCTGCGCCCACGGACGTTGGAGTGGGGCGCTTTTGAGATCGTGCCGCTGGACGAGCCCAGCCAGGAAAGGGAACGCGGGGGGAGGGGGAAAGAAACACTGCTGCCCGATGATGTGATCTTCGCAATCCGCGGCCCCCGAAATCCCGACCCCTTTTTCAGGGGCCCTTTCCCGTCCCGGAGCCATCTCGGATGGCCCCCCGGGCCCGAGGACGCCCCAGGAGCCGAAGCCGAGGACAAATGCAAAGAATGGAAACGCCATACAGTCGGGGCCCTGAAGAAGGAACCCTTTTGGTTGGGGAGGGGCTCCGCGTTCCTTAAATGTTTCACAGCTTGCCTCAGGTTTTCCTCATGTTTTCGATCGGACATCGAAATTTAACTTAATGGAAAAAAAAGGGGCCTCGATCCTTATTTAGGGTTCCTTAGGTCAACGCCCCGACTGTGTCGTTGGAAATCTCGGACGCAGGCAGATCGAAGGGATGTGTTTGGGTTGGCGCGGCCGAGCTGGGCACGGAAAGGCTGGTACGACGCCCAACAGCAAATGTTGTCCAAAACCGACGGCGGCCGCTGTCGGGCAAGCGACCTCATGTCTTAAAGCACAACGTCCGCGGCAGCACCGACAGCAATCCCTGTTCAAAATGGGCAGAAACTGCTCTCTGTCGGTCTTCTCCCCCGTCCTTTCCGTATCCATTCCGATCGTACCGAATCTCGCGCCGGCCCAACAGGCCAGAACTTTGAGACGACGACGAGCGACGACGACGACGGCGACGACGCAGACGACGACGGGCGAAGACGGCGGGCGAGGACGACGGCGACGAACGAAGGCGCCGAGCGACGGCGATGAGCGACGACGACGGCGACAACGGCCGTCGTCTCAGAGTCCAGGCGCGATCCCTGTCCAAACGGATAGAACCTGCTGTCGGTCTCCGTTCTCATCTCTTCCGTGCCCAATTTTCTTCCAGAGCTAGCCACTACGATCGTACCGAACGTGGGCGGAAGAGGGTCGTCGAGGGATCAGCCCGGGGGCCCTGCTTTGCCTCCTCCGCCGCCGCCTCCTGCTACCCTGACCGCGAGAGCGGCGACGGCAACGACGACGACGGCGACGACGACGACGGCGACGACGACGATGACGACGACGACGACGGCGACGACGACGACGATCACGAGGATCAAGTCGGGCCTGTCCCCCTACCCGGGGAATGTTCAAAAATAGTAAAACAATAATTTGGGGACCAGTTTTTGTTTTTTTCTTGTTTTTAACATTTTCTTTGTGTTTTATATATAATGTTTCATCGAAAAGCCCCCTGTGGGGGGACAGGCCCGACCTAACGCGAGGAGCGTCCTCCATCGCCATGGCCGCGGCGGGGGCGGTGCGCCCGGCGGCGGGGCCGCAGCCTCGAGCGCCGCGGCGGGGGCGGGGCCCGCGGCCGAGCGCCCTCTGCCCTCGTGTGCAGAGGGGGGGGGGGGGGCTGGCGAGCGGGGCCCCGAGGCAGCGGGAGGGCTGGCGAGCGGGGCGAACGGGGGCGGGAGGGGGGAGGGAGGAGGAGGAGGAGGAGGAGGAGGAGGAGGAGGAGGAGGAGGAGGAGGAGGAGGAGGAGGAGGAGGAGGAGGAGGAGGAGGAGGAGGAGGAGGAGGAGGAGGAGGAGGAGGCGGAGGAGGAGGAGGAGGAGGAGGAGGAGGAGGAGGAGGAGGAGGAGGAGGAGGAGGAGGAGGAGGAGGAGGAGGAGGAGGAGGAGGAGGAGTAGGAGAGCGAGGGAGGGAGGGAGGGAGGGAGGGAGGGAGGGAGGGAGGTACAGTGAGGGGAGCGGAGCGGAGCGAAGCGAAGGCCAGAGTCGTGCGCTCTCCTCTGGGGGAGCCCGCCCGTGCCCAGGAGGGCACTGCGTGGAGGCCGTGGCCTCGACAGGGAAGATCGCCGGAAATCGGCGGAGGGAGGGAGGAGGAGGGCCTGACAAAGACCAGCCGCGCGCGTACTGGCCAGAGGTTTGAAAAACGCGCAAGTGCGCCGTCCTCCGTAGTGGACCGAGAAGACCGAGAACAGGCTGAGGAAGGCCACCGTGATGAAAGCCACCTCGAACAGCGAGCAGGCGAAGACGTCGGTCACGCCATCGAAGCCCGTGCGCTCGTGCCTGCTTCAAGCCCCGTTGGTGGGCCCAGCTTCCTGGGGAGGCCGTGGCCTCGACAGGGAAGATCGCCGAAGATCGCCGGAGGGAGGGAGAGAGGAGGAGAGGGGGGGGAGGGAGGGAGGAGGACTCGAGGCAAGATGGCTCTGGGGCGCATCCGCCCCGTTGGTGGGCCCAGCTTCCTGGACTCACCACCCGGAAGGGCGCAGCGGCCCGATGGTGCGAATGGCCTGGGGCCGTGGTCCAGACCGCACGGGACGAGGTCGTTCTGGGCTGGGAACTTGCCACGGTCGCCGGAAGGCCGCGAGAGGGTCCCAAGAGGGCCCCCAAGGCAGTCACAGGATGGCGCACAAGTGAAAGCAACAGCGTAAATCTTCATGTTGGAACCTGCCAGAGCAGCAGGGGAAGCCCTCCAGAGGGGCTCAAGAGGCTCCAAGTCTGTCACAAGATGACCCACAAGGCAGATCTACATCATATATTTTTCCTCGCTGGGAAAAAAGAGGCCACTCTCGGGCATTTAGGGCCTCGCAATACGAGGGATGGGTTCACCCTGGTCTCTGCGAGGTGCGTTTTTTCCGAAGAGGAAGAAGGAGAGCAACCACAAAACTTCACCTGACTCAGCCTTAACCGTTGTGCGAGTCAAAAGGTCGCCAGGCAAAGGAGGAACACTACATGAACCGACCAACGATTTGTAAACTCATGCAATGAACCGTTGCCTGAACGAGGAACGAGCGTGCTGCAGGAGTACAGAACGGGAGAACCGAGGAGGAGAGAAGGGAGGCATTTGGCAGGGTGGGCAGGGCGGGCGAAAGCCCAGGCTCGCCACGGCCACACTCAACGGCCACTCGGTAGGGCGATTGGTGCAGCTAGAACTTGGTACACAACGGGCATACCAGAGGATTTAGTGATCGAGTAATCGAGTACAGTCGGGCCGCTGAAACAAGGAACGCCAAATAAGGAACGAAATCCCATTTTGGCACCAACAGCGCCTGGGTGCACGAGAAGGGCTAGAGGAACAGCCACATAAGGACCTAAGAAACATCGAGCCCCTTCCGAAACCAAAAGGTTCCTTCTTTCAGCGTCTTGACTGCAAGGGCGTGAAGCACGTCCGAATCTCACGGAAGCGGCACTATTGGTGTAGCAGAAAATGGTGTCACACCTGAGAAGTTAACACAATACTACTGTGATTCCATAAGGTAAGGGCTTGTGGGTAGGCTCTCTTACCAGCCACGCGTCAGGGAGAGAGATTAACCACAGTGTGGGAAAGTTCTCTTATCAACCACATGGCTGGGACAGAGAGGTGACGAATGGCGCAACGAAAATGGCACGAAGCTCGGTGCCACGCTGTCCTTCCGAGGATGGGCTGGCATCTCCAGAATAAACATGCATGTGCCTGTGGATGGGCCGGCACGCCCAAGCGCTGTCTTGCGAACGTGGCCGCAACTCTGCCTCGGCCATCAACGATCCGTGAAGGGGGGTTTGTAGTAATCTCGCCAGTCCTTTGGGCTAAGGTGTCGCGATATCTGTCTGCCCTCTTCTGAAAACCTCTTCCCTTACGGGAGGTTTACCTCCATGAGGTTTTTTTGAGGTTTCGCGGAGTGTCAGGGCGCCCAAGATAGCCTCGGCGAGAAGGCCAAAGTCATTGATTTGACTAGGGGCTCGGGCCAATTTTGGCAACTTTGATGGCACCAAGGGGGGGAAGGCACATTGCCCCCCCCCTCCCCCCCTTTTGATCGATGGCCTCCACGATGGCCCTACGAGGCGCCGCAGGGCTCCCGAGGGGACCCCCAGGAGGGCTCCAAGACGGCTCCAAGAGGGCCCCAAGACCCCCCCCCGAAAGTCCCAGGACGATTCCAAGATCCCCCCAAAGAT